TTAGAGCTCACTATTGATGTCAATACTGAATGAGATATCGCTAGTGTCGGGTCGAGTGGTAGTGAGGGGTCGGGTGTCGTACGCGCCGCAGGAGTCGTGGGCTTTCATAGCGAGTGTTCGACAGAATATTCTGTTTGGCTCTCAATATAATGAAGAGAAATACAATCGAGTGGTGAAGGCGTGCGCTTTGGACACAGATTTCAAACTCATGCCATTTGGAAACAAAACACTTGTGGGGGAGAGAGGGCTGGCATTGAGTGGCGGACAGAAGGCTAGGCTGAGTCTGGCCCGGGCTCTGTACCACTCGGCAGACATCTACCTCTTGAACGACCCCTTGAGTGCTGTCGACACACATGTGGCCAAACATATCTTCCAGAAGTATATATTATTAACTAAATTACAAATAACTCAATGCTTTGATTATTAATTAGATGTTGTGTTGAGTACCTGAAAGACAAGGCGACTATTTTAGTGACGCATAACATCCAGTTTCTCTGTGACGCGCATCAAATACTTGTGCTCAACGACGGCGAGTGTGTGGCCATCGGGTCCTACGCTCAGCTCAAAGAGCGCGGCATTGATCTCATGGCATATCAGAGACAAACCAATGAAACAACTCATACCAGAGCTGTGAAGAGAAGGACATCTATCACACCATCGATTGTCTCATCCCTTAGCGAGGGATCGGATGTGACGGACGTTAGGAAACCGATAGAAGTGGACGAACAGGAAGTGAAGGCCGAACTCAAAATGATTGGATCCGTTGAGACCACTGTTTATATGGATTACATTAAGGCCGGCGCCGGACCTATGCTAATAACACTTACCATATTGTTTATAATTGCTGCACAAATTCTCAATCAGGGAAGCGATTATTGGCTAAGCGTATGGTCAGTGCTATTATTATTAAAAAAAATAGTTTTATTTTTTTAAATTTTAAACAATATATTAGGACTAATGAAATGATCAAAAACTCGGAACAAGTTGACCAGACATTCTACTTTATTATCTACACGAGTCTAACCACTGGTCTGTTTGTGTCGGCCCTGTTGTCCACCATTTGTTTCTACATAATGTGTATGAGATCTTCGGTTAATCTCTATAACAGAATATTCTATGCGTTATTGCGATCACCGATACATCTGTTTGAGAGTTCACCCATTGGTAACACTGTTTAAATAAAATAAAATAAATGATTAAATAAATGTCCATTAATTTTACGATTACTTTTAGGACGAATACTAAATAGAGTTTCAAAAGACACGGGAATTGTGGACGAAATGTTACCATCGGTTGCCTTTGAATTCATAATTGTAAATTACCATAATTTATTTTATAAGAGAGAATGTATGACCATGTTTTCTGGATGCTAATTAATTGAATATAAATTTAGTAAGCATAGTATATACGGATGCAATAGTGTTTATTTTTTGGTATTATAACACTAGAGTACTTTTAATTATCATCAAAAAAGCATTGGAATAGATTCTATATTCTACATTGTACTATTTATAAATTGAATATTTTTATAAATCTCATAGAATTTGTGTTTAATTATTGGATGTCTTATACTGAATGCAATCGTCAGTTGGATATTGATATTCCCGGCGATACTGTTAATAATATTGGTGTTTATTTGTCGCTATTTTTATATCAAATCCGCGCGGGATATACAACGTATGGAAGGGTTGTGTATGTATTGTCACATCATTGTATATTTAAAATTATTAACTCTCTCTCTCTCTCTCTCTCTCTCTCTCTCTCTC